TACACACTGGTCCTTTAAAATCTTGTGACCCCCATTAAGCTTTTGAGCCCACTAGGGTGGAACCACTGTAATATAAGACTGAATGTAGGACAGATACTTGCATTCAGAATTTATTTAGCATTTCTTTTAATTTATCATTTAAAGCTGCAGTAAATAACTTTTGGTCATATTTGCTGACACATTCACTATATTTTGACAGTAGTACATGAGACAGATAATCCACTGGGCCTGAAAGAAAACAACCAATCAGAGCCAAGAAAGTTATTGAGTCTCATTCCCAGGGTGTCAAATACAGACACTTTGGGAAAGTTACCTACTGCAGAGGAATCTGAATCAGAAATACTTTATAGATCCCTAGGGGTAAATTGGTTGCATTACAGTTGCTCAAGTAGCTAAACAAGTCATTATAAGAATAGAAATAATAAGAATGTTAAAATATCTGCATTATATTACAATATGTGTGTAAAATATGGACATTATATTACAGTATGAAACAATATTTAGAAAGGCGAAAATAAGACATTCAAAATATGTATAGTACAGTATATAACAGAACTACAGTATATAACAGAATATAACTCTCAGAACACTTTGAACAAACATCAGCACAAACACTGTTGGACACAACATAAAAAACCCACTTCATTAGAGAGGACATCCTAATATTTAGTTTGTGTTATGTAAGATAAACAATAATTGTGCTCTGCCGTGTAAGAAGAACTCTTAAGCATATGCAAGTTGAATTTGGTGCAAGTTATTAACTGTAGAGCTCTGGTTTAGTATTACTTCTCCTTTAATTTGTGCGTGAACAGCAGCTGAACAAGGCTTCAAAGAGACTGTGCAGCTGAGTAATTGTGAGGCATCTCTTCCTGTGCCGTAGTCATTAGGTCCAGACTGAAGCTGTGTCTGGTCTCTGTCAGCACACGGGAAATGAGGATCATATTAGTGAAGTGTGTTTATACACTTCAGTCAGACAGCAATGTTTCAGTGTACAGTGGAGCTATGAGGCTTAAGAGGTCTGGGAGTGGACAGACAGACACTGAACTAGAAGAAGTTATTATTGGCGACCTTTTTGATCAGCAATTTGGATGTTTGATAATATGAAACCAGTTCCGGTTAAAGGTTTCCACCATTCACTGTAGGATAGTAGGATAGTAGGATAGAACTGAACAGTTATTCATTATTTTAAAGGTCCAGTGTGTAACATTGAGGAGGATCTACTGTCAGAACATGGAAATATAATCATTGCGATAGTATTGGTTTCATTTATTATAACTCCCTGAATACAGGAATCCTTGGATTTTGGTTACCTTAGAAGGAACTTTTGGCAATAGAAAAACTGGCATGGCCATTTTCAAAGAGATCCTTTGACCTCTAACCTCAAGATATCTGAATGAAAATGAGTTCTATGGGTACAGTTTACAAATTTCTGCATACTAGGGTCTAAAGTATTCAGAAATATTATAAGATTAAACACTATTTGAACCACATAAATTGGGAATGAATTAATGATGATGATGGATGAACTCACTTATAGAGACTGTTTCTTACAGCTCTTAAAGTAAGATTTATATATATTTATAACTTCAATAAAACATTTGAATGTAACTTAACTTAAACCTAACCTCTGCATTTGCAGGAATATTTTAATCCATTCTTTAAAATTTTAATTCAAGTAGTGTGATATTTTCACTCTCGTGTCCTTTCCTCATGGTGACACAAAATGCTTCTGTGCATAAATATGAGGTACACTTAAAGGTGCAGTAGGTAACTTTTATGAAAATAACTTTCTGTCATATTTGCTGAATATTTTAATATATCCTGAAAGTAGTACATAAGACAGATAATCTGAAAAACTCAGGTTCCTCTGGCTCCTTCTAGTGCTCCTAATGGCATTTGCATAATCCACTGGGCCTTAATGAAAACAACCAATCAGAGTCGAGAAAGACAGAAAGACACTTTGGGTTGAAGGTTTGAAGACAGTTAATTGTTGAGTCTCATTCCCAGGGTGCCAAAGCATCAGTATTTGGCACCCTGGGAACCCCTTTCTTGGCTCTGATTGATTGTTTTTGTTCAGGCCCGGTGGATTCTTACAAATCCCGTTAGGAGCACTAGGAGGAACCTAATTATCTGTCTCATGTTCTACTGTCAGGATATAGTAAAGGTTTCAGCAAAAATGATAAAAATATATTTTTTTAGTTATCTACTGCAGCTTTAAGGGTCCTGGTTTGGTGGTTTGAAAATATGGTCATCTTATGTTTTGGTCACAGAACGTATGGCACTGAGGAAGTTGCATACCAGTATTAATACACATTACAGCCCTACTAAGAACTGTATTTCATGCTTCACATGATGATATCATTTATATCAAAACTTTTCGTGGAGCAACCTACACTCTGTTTAACAGAGACAAACTGGGATTTCTATAAATAAATACAGATGACAGGGAGAGCACATTTGCATACTGACCCACATTACCGCAGTGTAACAGTATGAAGGTTATTTTCTAACTCTCCGATGCAATATCTTCTAACTAGCAGAGCCAGCGCACCCCAGCCCACACAATAAAAAGCAGAGGCAGATGTTACATAACTATTTCAGAGAGCAAAGTGATCATCCTCCTACTGAGAAAAATGTTTTTGAGGTAAAAACACTGAACCTTAAAGTTGATCCTAATCTTTGGTGAGCTAAAATCAGCAACCCACTGGCCGATATCATCTGGAGTAATCTGTTTAAAAGCCATCTGGCACAGTTCACTAGCCAGCTGTTCTCAGCAAATAATCAAATCACACAGCAATACTTCCACCAGAACAATGTATTTCTTATAATTACTGTCATACAATCAGCACACAACATAATGCATGCAGTCACAGTACTAAAAATGGCTGTTGTCACTCCAATGTAGATTTGTATATGGCTCAGTCTCATATGTAATAACATATTAGTGTTGTTGTTGTGTGTGGCATCTGTAAGTGCATCAGCCTTGTAATTGCTTGTGGGGAATGCAGAGAATGCCATAGATGAGAGGTAGCCATGTATGGAGTCTCATTGTGTGTGTCAGGAGGCAAAGGAAGCAGTTATTAAAGACAGACTGGCTGCTGTAAGACAGAATGATAACTGCAAGTTGCTAAACAGTAAACAGCCAACTAGAAAATTCCTAAAGAAATTTTGAGTGTGCCTGACTCTGGCCCATATGTTAATAACATGTCATACTCTCTAGCACGCTAGCTAGCTAGCGCTAGCATATTAATACCTTGTCATCCTCTCTAGCTAGCTATGTGTGTGTGTGTGTGTGTGTGTGTGTGTATGTTCACAGTCAGATTTCT